CGATCGGGGCTTTTTTGTGGAAAAGTGCGTCTAGATTGGCACGGACGCTTTTCCGCAAAAAGTGCTTTTGCGGAAAAGAGTCCGTGCCAATCTAGACGCTCTGTTCCGAAAATGCTTTTAACAGAAAACTTTTCCGATAAAAGCATTTGCAGAAAATCATGCAAATCTAGACGTAGCCGTAGTGTTTGTCTTCAAAATGTGCTACAAATGCCTACAAATGTCTCACTCAGCCATGTGGCAACTGCTTATTCCAAGGAAGCAGCTCCATGCTCTTTTGAGAGCCCCTAGAACTCTCTGTAGCTCTCTGGTTGCCTGAGAAATGATTTCCCCCGTGCGAAAGAACAGAATTCTCTGCCTCCTTGCATCAGCTGATCGCTAGTTAAGCTGCCCCTTTGGCTTCTGCAGGTTCCTTGCCCTTCGTGCTGTCTGGGACCGTGCTCCCCCACCCCGATTTCATGAGCATCATGGCCAGCCATACAACTTCCATACCCTGATGTGGTCCTCAGGCCAAAAAATGTACCCACCCTTGGTCTGGCCTAACTTGACCAATCACTATGTGGATTTAACCTTTAGGCTATGTCTACACTGGCAGGTTCTTGTGCAAGAATCTGCAGAGCGTCCACACTGCCCACCCTCTCTTGCAGAAGAAGGCTTACAGTACGGCGTGGTAAGAGACGGTTTCTTGCACAAGAGCTACGCTCTTTTTTAACAGGTGTAAGCCCTCTTGTGCAAGGACTCTTGCACAAGAGGGCAGTGTGGATGCTCGGCAGGGGTTTCTTGTTCAAGAAAGCCCTGTGGCTAAAATGGGCATTGGAGCTTTCTTGCACAAGAGAGCGTTCACACTGCCATGGACGCTCTTGCACAGAAGCACAGCTTGCACATGGCAGTGTGAACGTTTTCTTGCCCAAGACTTCTTGCACAAGAACCCGTCAGTGTAGGCACAGCCTTACTGTTTTAACCTCGCTTCTGTCACTGTGAGGTGAAATTGCTTCCTTGTGATAAAAGCTTCACCTGTGGAGAATTGGTGGGATCCCTTGATGGAAGTTGCCTGAAAGTCACTTCTGGTTCTGTTTTCTCCTGTCATAGGCTCCTAAACTTGCTGAGACCTACTGCGTGTGTCACCTGGCAACAGGTGACATGCTGAGGGCCATGGTGGCTTCAGGATCGGAGCTGGGTAAAAAGTTGAAGGCGACTATGGATGCTGGCAAGCTGGTGAATAGAGTGGCAAGTGGTGCTAATGACAGTGCCAATTGTCTGGGTTTATTGAGAGGACCGAAAAGTGTTTTAAGAAAATACAGGGCTGTGGTGATCTGAACACTGTCTTTCATCTAGAATCATTGAGACCAATGACAAACCCAGGCCAGAAAAGGAAGAACAAGTTGTGAGGGAAGTATGGGATTCTCCTTCCCCTTAATGCCGCAGGAAAGATGTCTTGTAAAAATATTCCTTCCTTTTCTGCATAGATCTGAATTTTTCCCCCTGAAAATTCTTGTTTTCTTAGCTTCTACTTTTCCCTTATGGTTTATCCAGTTTCACTGACTAAATCCTGATTAATAAACACTCCTAGTTACCCCAAAGGGTAGTTATGTCTCTCGGGTTGCAGGAACAGGTGTTGTCTCTCTGACACTCCCAAGCCAGGTGCTCCTAAGCCCCGCAGAGGGAAAATTCGAGTGATCCAAAAGTTTCATATGTCTCCTGAGTCCTTCAAATAATTGTGCTTCACCTGTGGTTTGTAAGGTGAAGACAAAGCCTTAAAGACCAGTCACCCCAGAGAGCAATAAACACGTCAGTGTGCAAACGGCTTGGGTGTGGTGTCCCAAGTGATGGCTATTCTTAGTGCCTGTAGCACATTTCATCTGTAGACTTCAAAGCATTTTGTCCAGGTAGGTAAACCTGTTGTGGGGAAACCGAGGCAAGGGGTGATGTAACGTGCTCCAAATAACAGTTGGAGCAGAGATCTGAGTCCCATGCTGGTTCTCTCTCTATTGCATCATTTTTGCCTCCTTTTATGCATAACTTGTGCCCAACTTCAGACTTCAAGTCTCCTCCCTTTGCTTCCTGCCCTGCATGTTCCACTGAATGATGCTGTTTGTCAAGAGCAGGCGTTAGGACCCTAAAGGCTTTGTCATAGAGCTGGGAGACGGCTTATCCTCAGCCTTCACATGGTGCTTGCATTGCATCATTCCGCCTGCAGTGTCACAATTGGTTGTGAAAGAGAGAGGCCCTATCAAGAGAGACCGGCTGTTCTCTTCCACGGGCCTGTTCCTGGGACCCATGCCCTGCATTGTAGGAGCATATTTGGGCTTCAAGATAACTCCGTTTGGTGGCAGAACAGCAATTCCCAGCGCCCACCCTTGGACTGCGTGTTTGCTTTTAAAAAACAATGTTGTTTTCCCTGGAATGAAGGGTTGCAAGAGCTATACAGAATCCAGGAAATCACCATAAATTTTAACCAAACCACCTAGCGTCTACTGCATCCTCCATTCTAAGGCGTTTGCCTCTAAGAGTATGTCTGTACTGCAGAGAGAAACCCGTGGGGAGGGTTTAAAAAAGGTCTCGGGCAGCCCTGAAATGGAATCAGCTGGTCCCATGTAGTCCTGTCTCAGGTGCCTGAGACAACCCCTTTTTAGCTGATCCTAACTGACCTGCAGTAACCCACTTCTGGTTAGTAGGTGAGTGGGCCTCTTCCCTTTTGCAAGCTACCTTTCCCCGCCCCGTTGCAGCCCTCTGGCCTGGCTGTCACAACACCCCGGGAAAACTGCTATTTTGTGGTGGTTTTGTTGCACTTTGTAGTAGGTGCAGACTAGGGTCCATGGGTTCTGCATGTTCAGTGACTAGCAGGTACGGAGACAACTTCAATGAAGTCAGTTGAGTTGCCAGGGTTGTAAATGAGAGCACCCCATGACCCATCATGCTTCAGCGTGGACCATGGTGGCTAGTCTGGCCTATTAATTATTTTTTTTTAATGCGCTGTCTGGAACTTTCCTCTAAGGTGAGCGATGAGATGGTGGTGGAGCTGATTGAGAAAAACCTGGAGTCTCCTCCCTGCAAAAATGGCTTCCTGCTGGATGGCTTCCCTCGCACGGTGAAGCAGGCAGAGATGGTACGTGACTTCGGCTCCTCTGGCTCGTATCTCTTACAGCTCCATTCCCACTCCAGCCACGTCTCTAGAGGAGACGGGATGCGGGGGGAGCGCTCTCTGTGACTGTATCTGCGTACTTAAGGGAGACGGTTTCTGTTACAGCTGGATGAGCTCATGGAGAAGAGAAGTGAGAAGCTAGATTCTGTGATTGAATTCAGCATTCCTGACTCCCTGCTCATTCGGAGGATCACTGGACGGTAATAATTCTCCTTCCTCTCCAAGTCCGCTGGTTTCCTAAGGCTTTGGGAGAAGGCAGAGAGTTCTGGTTCTTGTGATCGTTTTAGCACCGTGTGGAGCCAGCTGTGTCAACGCACCTGCATCCTGGCCTGCTTCGGCCTTTGCTGTGTTCAGTTTTTGTTCCACATGCATATAGGGTTCTGGTGCCACAGTTCAGCGCCCGCCCTGCTGTTCCCATCTTGGGCCTGCCTTGAGCCGAGTCTGTCTGTGCCATGGATAGCGGTTGGTGATGTGCGTGAGCATCGGGGAAGATGTTAAATGCTAATGCTTTTATGCTGCATCTTCTCTGGTGTTCTTGCTGATTCATTGTGTTACCCTACAAGAGGAAGTACCACCAAACATCCTCGCCCTGCACAGGGATGCATCTGTGTATTCATTAATTCTCATGGTTACATGCAAATCACACTCACTGCCCCATGTTGCAGCTGTATCAGAGGTAGAAGGGCGGGGGAAGCAGGCGGGAGCAAGTGCTCGTGAGAACTGGCTTTTAAACAGGCTCCCCACGACACTAGCTCCGATGGAGCCACCCGTCTCACCATGCTGCTGCCTCTGATACAGAGGCAGGATTACATGGGGGCAAGCAGGAGCCGGTATGCACATGGAGTTGCCTCTCTCTCCAGCCCAGCATGTACAGGCTTCTGGTATAGATGTTTTATTGGCCCTCATGAAGCTCCTTGTGCATAATAGGTCCCGCCTGCCCTCCCATGCTGCTGCCTCTGATTCAGAAGCAGCACCACGGAGAGAGGGGACAGGAAAGGCAGCTGTGTGGGAAATGGTACTCGTGAGGAGCTGGCTCTCTGCATGTACCAGCTCCCATGAAACCACCTCTCCTCCCTGCATGTAAACATGTAACCGCTGAAAAATTCAGCAGTTACATGTTTACAGAAAAATGCTTTTTAACATCCATTTTTCAGGTATCTGAAAGGGTGTCATGAGGAAGAGGGAGAAAACTTGTTCATCTTGGCTTCTGAGGGTAGAACAAGAAGCAAGGGGCTTAAACTGCAGCAAGGGAGGTTGAGGTTGGACATTAGGAAAAAGTTCCTAACTGTCAGGGTGGTCACACTGGAATAAATTGCTCAGGGAGGTTGTGGAATCTCCATCTCTGGAGATATCTAAGAGTAGGTTAGATAAATGTCTATCAGGGATGGTCTAGTCGGTATTTGGTCCTGCCATGAGGGCAGGGGACTGGACTCGGATGACCTCTCGAGGTCCCTTCCAGTCCTAGTGTTCTGTGATCCCTAGTCCTGCTTCAGAGATGGCCATGTGGGTCCAGCAGAAATTCTCCATTCCACAATCCAGCCCTCTAATAGCTGGATTTGCAGAAGAGTCCTCGCTCAGTCCTGTACAAAATGCTCCTCTCTCCTCCGTGCCGCTCCTTTTCTTCAGCTCCCTAAAGAGCTGCTTGGTTGAATTGACTCTAGCAAATTTTCTGCCAAAGTGAAAAGCATCTAGGCTGCTGCGGCTGTTTCTTGTGCTGACTGAGATTGGGTTGTCCTCCTATCCTGAGCTGAGACACCTTGTTGAACCTTGTTTTCGGTTTCAGGCTGATCCACCCGGCAAGTGGCCGCTCGTACCATGAGGAGTTCAACCCCCCGAAAGAGCACATGAAGGATGATGTATGTGAGCTACCAATACATTTCCCCTGAGATCTTACTTAAATGATCTTCAATTCAAAGTCTGAGCAGTAACCACGCTTTTACTGCCCTATCTTCACCCGCTGTCGCCTCCTTTGACTAGACAGGCGTTTGAGGCAGCTGTGCCGATGGGGGTGGGGGGCTTCAGCTGGAATGTAACAAGCTGCGGATTTGTCCCGTTCACGGTTGTCTTCCTTTATCAGGCCACCGGGGAGCCCCTGATCCGCCGTTCTGACGATAACGAAGTGGCTTTGAAAACTCGTTTGAAGTCCTACCATACCCAGACCACCCCGCTGGTAGACTACTACTCCAAGCGAGGAATCCATGCTGCTGTGGACGCCTCCCAGTCCCCGGATGTGGTGTTTGCCAGCATCTTGGCAGCCTTCTCCAGAGCAACATGTAAAGACCTGGTTATGTTTGTTTAGGGCTCTTCTAGTGCCGTGCTCTCTCTGCTGCTCTGGGGTCAGGGAGAGGGACTGGCCAATTAAGAGAGTGGAAGGAGGGGGATGACATCCTGAGAGAGGACTGTGCCAAGTGTCAATTAAACAAGCACTTGCTAGGCTCTCTTTTGGCACCTGAACATGTTGGTATGTTTCCGTGTGCGTGTGTGCATAGCCTGTAGGGGGCGCAATGAGCTAACACCAGCCACTTCCCATTAGTAACATGTTTATATCCAATCAGGTCAAAAGTGAAAGTTTTGCTTCTTAGAGTCCTAGTTAACGGGAAAATACTGCACTTTCTACTGCTCAGTCTGCTTGGCCGGGTCCAGGCACGGAAGTAACAGGAGTGCTGAAGGTCATGGTTGATCTGTGTAGGCGGAGAGAGGGGGTCTTCCCTCCCTCACCCTACAGCTGTGGAAAATAAAGCACTGTCTGCTTGCAGGAAGTGTGTGTTGTCTGTGTGGGAGGAGGAATGAATGCAAAATGTGAGTGCGGAGAATCTGCTGCTTGGTACCATTTTAGAACAGAAACCTTTACCCGGTGGTGCAGATCGGATGTGTGTTCTACTGTGTGAGCAATACAGTAAACAGCACCGTTTTCTCGGAGAAGAATCTGGATTCCAGTGGGTTTGACTCTCAAGGGGCAGGGGGAGTGTAGACAACAGGAGAGGCTGGGATTCCATGGATTCTGCTGTCAATAATAGGGTTCAAAAAGGAGCTAGATAAATACATGGAGGATGGGTCCTTCAGTGGCTGGTAGGCAGGAATGGTGCCCTGAGCCTGTTTGTCCCAGGCTGGGAATGGGTCAAAGGGGAGGGATCACTTGATTCCCTGTTCTGATCACTCCCTCTGGGGCACCTGGCGCTGGCCACTGTCGGAAGACAGGATCCTGGGCTAGATGGACCTTTGGTCTGACTCAGTGGCCGTTCTGATGTTCTCCTCATCCCCCGATCATGGCTCGTGAGCCCTCTGTGTAGCTTTTCTGAACAGAGCCTTGTTTCCAAACAAATCATTCTTCAAGGAGCGTGGGATAAAAGCTCTAGCCCACACTTCAAATGTCCTTGAGCCCTTCTCACCTGGCTTACGATATCCTGGAAATGCACTTGGAGTTTCTCAAGCAAGCCCAAGTGCTTGTGCAGAAACCGTGCTGCTGAGTGTAGATTTTAACATGACAGGGGTCATGCTGCCCTCTCAGAAGAAACAAGGCTGCTAGGAAACTAACGATCTCTGATCTGTGTGGAAATCTCAACAGTATACAGAAGCTTCTGGTATAAATGTTTATTGGCCCAGATGAGGGTGAGTGCCCTTTAACTGTCAGTGTATTTTGCTGATTTGGTGTAATAGGCTGTGCAATCTTACTGTGCATGGGGGATGTGCAGTCTTGTGCGCTGAGCGGCCGGAGGGATGGGCCCGTTCCCTGGGGGTTCAGCCAGGAGGCATGCGCGTCTCTCCTCTTGTTCATGATTTCTTGTTAATCACACTCTGCTCCCGAACGCTCTTTCCTGTGAAGTGCAGCCACCCCCTCCCCTTGCAAAAGTCTGTAAATAACCCCAGAAACTGAAAGTAGACTTGTTGCAGCTGCTCTCTGAAAGCACGTGACTGTGTGGGAAAGGGCTTGGGGGGGAAACGGAAGGTGAGAATCGGCTGCTCTATTTGGGTCTTCCCTAACTGCTGCTGTGTTGCTGTGGTATTTCCTCTTGCTTCACCACAGCACACTCCAGGGTGGTGGTGCTGGTGGGATTCTGGGTGTCGATGCTCTGGCGAGAGCAGATGGGACCCACCAGTCAGTTCAGGACTAGACAAGACTGGGTATAGACCACAGTGGAAATGAGAGTCAGAGCCACGGCTGGGTAATTGCCTAGAATGACAGAGAAACTCCCTTGCGTGTGATCAGCTTTTATCTCGGCTCCTGCTTGAACCTCTTGAGACAGAAAAGGAGAGCCTAGGCAGCAGTGATCAAATGGAAGATTCCCAATACAGCTCCTGGATTTGGGAAACAGCTCATCCCACCCCCATGTGCGATCTGCATCTGTCCTACATGTCAATCTCATTCTGCTGGTAGCAATGATTCAGTTTGGGTTTTAGTTCTTAAATTTGTGTGGGGGCTTTTTTTTTTTTCATTTTTGTTTCCCGTTTATTCCAGCTCAGTGACTCCATGAACCAGACGAGACACCACCAAAGGCTGCATGCTCCATCACCTCACTCCATCCCTTCCCCTTGGGAGAAGGGGCAGGCTGGAAGGGAAGGGGGGGGTTATGGCTGAGCATTGGAAGGGGGGGAAGAAACAGAAGGCAGAGTGGTTTGTTTCTCACCAGAATCATGTTCAAGAGGAGATTGATCTTTTCCTTTCATACTAAAGAATCAAAGTATTTGGGGAGGAAGAACACATTGTGCTGTATGAAAATGGATTTCTGTGCCAAAGATCAGCCTGCTGAGCCTTGGCCTTGCTGTTGGACTTGGTGCTATTTCAAGCTTTCAAACGGGACTCCTGGTGCTGCCTCTGCGTGGTAGCTCTGTGTGGTTTTGTTTTTCCTGAAGGACGCTGTCAAATTCGTTTTTCTGCTTCTTAAACGTAATTCCCCTACTACAGGACCAAAATGAATGCACAAAATGACTCCTTAGCTCTGTCATGGAGACAAGATCTGGCTCCATTGTACTTCCCTTGTTTCCTAGATGATTTGGCCTTCCTGAAACAAGGCAAAGATGGACTGAGGAGCCTTCTGCTCCTGTATGATACCATCAGCTCTAGCCCAAGCCTTCCATCTTTCTGATCTTGATCAAGCCAAACTTCCTAAAATGCTGAGAAATCCATAGGAATTTACCCCCTCCCACTTGATTGAGGAAGCAACAATGAATTGGATTTTTTGCCTTTTTTACAAACCAAATGCTGCCTTTGTCTAGTTTCTGAATCAATAAAATATACTTCACATTTCGTGTCCAGCTGTGTTTTCTTTCAGACCTGCACGCCACACAGGCTGGCAGGGGTGGATTGTAGCATAGACTCGATCTTCCAGTAATTGAGAGGGTCGAGGGTGACCAGAAAGTCCAGCTGGAGAACTCCACTCTGGGGCAATTAGCCAACAGGCCCTGCCATTTTCTTTCTTACCTAAGTACACATCAGCCTCCTTATTATGGAAGCGATCATTACAGGTGCTGACCCTGCTCTGCTCTCTACTCTGTGTATGTAGAAACAAGAAGTAAATTCCTTTGTGCTTTGACCCACTCTTGGCTAGAACTCACCTGTATGTTTTCATAGATGACACAGTCTCTTAGGGTGTGTCTACACTAGCCCCCTACTTCGAACTAGGGAGGCTAATGTAGGCATTCGAGGTTGCAAATGAAGCCCGGGATTTAAATATCCCGGGTTTTATTTGCATCTTCCTGTCCAGTTGTCATTTTGAAGTTTCACTAGTCCGGACTAACTGCCCGCAGCTACACGTGGCAGGGACCCGGTAGTTTGAATTAGGGGCTTTAATTCGAACTACAGGGTCCCTGCCGTGTGTAGCTGCGGGCAGTTAGTCCGGACTAGTGAAACTTCAAAATGACAACTGGACAGGAAGATGCAAATAAAACTCGGGATATTTAAATCCCGGGCTTCATTTGCAACCTCGAATGCCTACATTAGCCTCCCTAGTTCGAACTAGGTGGCAGTGTCGACACACCCTAAGAGTTGTAGTAGCACCGTACGTCCATTGGTGGTGTGTGACTTTACTAAGGTCCCATATTTCCCCCTCCTCCCCTGGACTGCAAGTCTAGTTTTATTGCTTTTGAGCGTAGCTATTCCTTCACCGTAGCCTGTGACTATCCCCTTCATACCCTGCCCTCTCCCCTTCCACCACGGTAGCTTCTGCACTGTAGATGGCATTACATTTATCATCTCCCTTTATCGCAGCCTGCTCCGACCTTGCGGCTTATTCGCTGAAGTGATTCCTGAAACTTTTCTTGTGGCAGTAAACTATACGAGTGGTTTTCCCTTGTTGCGATTTGTAGCAGAAAAACCCCAATCCATTTGTGGGCTCCTCTGCTGCTAGGCACCGTACAAGCACAGAGAGTATGCCCCCGTGCCCCTGTTCCTTTGGAAAGACTCCTGCTCACTAACCCATTCAGTATTTCTCTTCGGGCCTGTCCTGTGCTTCCCCAGTGTTTCTCTTAGGGCTTTGGCGAGTGTTTTCTCACCTTTTGGAGGCAGGCTCACGAGGGTAACAGGTTGTGGAATCTCCAACACTGGAGCGATTTAAGAGCAGGTTAGACATTTATCAGGGCTGATACAGATGGCTCTTGAGGGCAGGGGCCTGATCTCGATGACCGCTCGAGGTCCCTTCCAGTCCTCGTGTTCTATGATTCTAGGTTGGGCTTTGCTGGTGTAGCAAATTGTTCCTGTTAAATGACTTCACCCCTGCACGCTGCTTAGGCTGTGCTCTTTTTAAAGGTATGGTCATGCATTCGTGGGCAAAGAGAACATGTCTGATGTGCAGCGCTAGGACCAGCGTGGTGTGGGACATTGCATCCCCCGGCCATCCTATGTGCTGTGAACTATTCTCCAAGGCAGCAGCCTCTCAGGAGCAGCA